TTAGAAAGAGTATGATGAAAATAATTGAAAAATCTATGACATAATAAAGGACCAATTTGAAATGAAGTCTACATGAACTGAAATGAAAAATAATTTACATGGAATCAACAGTAGAGTAGAGAATGCTGAGAATCAAATCAGCAATTTGGAATATGAAGAAACAAAAAACACCCAACCAGAAGAGCAAAAAGAAAAAAGAATCCAGAAATATGAAGATAGCATAAGGAGCCTCTGGGACAACTTCAAGAAGTCCAACATTCATATTATTGGGGTGCCACAAGGAGAGGAAAGAGAGCAAGAAATTGAAAACCTATTTGAAAAAATAATTATAGAAAACTTCTCCTACCTGGGGAAAGAAATAGACTTACAAGTCCAGGAAGCACAGAGGGCCCAAATAAGAGGACCCCAAATAGGCCCACAGCAAGACATCAGAATTAAAATGCCAAAGGATAAAGACAAAGAGAGAATCTTAAAAGCAGCAAGAGAAAAGCAGTTAATTACATACAAGGGAGCCCCCATACGACTGTCAGCTGATTTCTCAACAGAAACTTTGCAGGCCAGATGGGAGTGGCAAGAAATATTCAAAGTAATGAAAAACATGGAACTACAACCAACATTACTCTACCCAGCAAAGCTATCATTTAGAATTGAAGGTCAGATAAAGAGCTTCTCAGACAAGGAAAAGCTAAAGGAGTTCACCACCAGACCAGCACTACAGGAAATGTTGAAGAGTCTTCTTTAACAAGAAGCTAATGAACAAAAGAATCTGATGAACTAAATAGATCCAGAGACATTGACGCATATAACGGATGATCACATTTCAGAGGGAAGAGGGAAGGGGGGCGGAGGGTGGGAAGAGATTAACCAAAGAAGTTATATGCATATATGCATAACCCATGGACACAGACAGTAATGGGGTGAAGGCCTGGGGAGGGGGTGGGAGCAAGTTGGAGGGAGTAAATTGGGGCAAAAAAAATGGGACACCTGTAATACTTCCAATAATAAAGATAAATTTTTAAAAAAAGAAAAGAAAACTATGGACCAATATCCCTGGTGAACAATGATGCAAAACTCAACAAAACACTAGGAAACTGAAGAAAGGATTATGCACCATGACCAAGTGAGATTTATTCCTGGATGCAAGGATGGTTCAACATATGCATAAATAAATATGATACATCACATTAATAGGACAAAAGAGTAAAAATCATATGAGCATCTCAAAACATTCAGAAAAAGCATTTGAGAAAATACAACAAACTTTCATGATTAAAACTCTTAACAAAATGGGTGTAGAATAACATACCTCAACATAATAAAGTTCATGTACAACAAACCCACTGCTAACATTATACTCAATGGTGAAAAATTGAAAGCTTTTCCTCTATGATCCAAAACAAAAGAACTATGCCCATTCTCACCACTTTTATTCAGCATAGTACTGGAAATCCTAGCTAGACTGATTAGGCAAGACAAGAAATAAAAGGCATCAAAATTTAAAAAAGAAGTAAAATTATAATTATTTGCATCTGGCATAATCTTATATAGAGAAAAACCTAAAGAGTCAACCAAAAGACGATTGAAACTAATCAACAAATTCAGTCAAGTGCAGGATATAAAATCAACATACAGATATTAGTTGCATTTTTACACACTGGTGAACAAAATAGATTTAGTGACATAGAAGCATGGAACAGACTGACAAATCTCAGAGGGAAGGCAGGGGTGGGT